GGCTTACATTTATTTATAAATATAAACTTGTTTATAAATATTATTATATTATTCCCTGTGCAGAGCTCGTTACGATTCCTGACCAAGCACTGGCATCGTGTTCCCCTTCACGGCTCTGTTGTTTTAAATTTGTCATGAAAATATTTTGATTGTTGCGCATTCACAGCGCTCCCCTTCGAAGCCCTCACCTTTTCGCTTGGTTTCCTTGGTGAGTGTTCAAATAATGTTTCACACACCCCCGGGATATCGAAAAGGAAAGGGAATCTAGTCCCCTTCTTGTGGCAGATGCCTCCACATGCTCTACATCTACATATATACATATGTGGAGATATGTTTCCAAATTAGATTCTGCGGTTTCCGATTGTCAGTCGCTCTCTCTTGCTGTCCAGGGGACTTCCCTCATTTGTTTATTTACTCCTTGCTGTGTATTTGGTCTTCCATTTCCTTCCTCATTTATTTTTGTCCCTCTCAAATGATATTTGCTCGGTACTTGCTAATTAATTAGACGAAGTGCAGTGGCTCAATAAGCTGTCATCTCGACTTATTTTTAATCGCCAACTTCGTATGCAAAGCAGTCAGGCAGGAAGGCAGACTTCAGACTTGGCCAACTCGGCAGACCACGACGGCGGAGCCCGTAATCCAATTTAAAAAAGCATTGCCGTCAGTCGCTTCCTTTGACTGCCACATAAATCAATGGGATGCGCGCTTAAAATTCATATCTTGTCAGAATGTAAGTTGTATTTTAAGCTTTTTATCGGGCCCCAAAAGGCGGCTGCAATGCGCCCCGCATTACTCATGCCTCAGAGGACGCGGGTGGTTATGAATGGATAAATCCGACGCAGTGGAAGCCCAAAGGGGGAACTGAAACTGCCGCCACAAGGTGAGGCACAAGTCAAAATATTGGGCCAGGTAAGAGGAGACCAGTTGAGACGTCACAGCGGAGACTTAAGGTTTTCAATTAGGGTGATTCATAATCATACTTATGCTATATAAAGACCAAATTATATTAATCTTGTATATCTCATATACCAAAACCCTGTAATATTAATTTTCATCATCACTGGTCCACCCTGCTAAGCCCCAAAAGTAAGACCTTAAGACATCATAACTTTGTGGCTAAATCTTTTGGCCATTTTTGGGTGCATTGGCGCTGTGCAAGAAGAGCAATTGCCAGGGCCACGTGTTGCATGTGCAACACGAAATGGCTGTAAATAATATTTATGTGCGTTAACGCCACAAGACCGTATATGGATCGGGGCTTACATGTGTCCGGGAGTATCCGCAACACGAGCTACTTGAGCCCGTCTCATATATCCGCGGCTTTATGGCTTAAATGCGTTATAATTCAAGCCCGTTTGCCGACCGTTGGCCACCTGTTCGTCGGACATTTGAGTCGTTGTCACGTCCCTGCTCCTCGGCCTCACTTCACTCCATGGCAGCATAAATATTGGCCACTAGTAATCTCCATCAAGACTTGTGAATTGCTGCTCTCGATGAGCACTCATTTGGGGGAAAATCCAAACGTATTTTCAGCTCTAACATGTTCAGGCCTTATTGGGCAGGGAAATATTGCAAAATCTCTCTGGTTAACGACTCCTTTGACTCCGATTTTGCTGCCTTCTGACTTCTTGTTAATTTTCCGCCAACAAAACACGCACCTAATGAGCCCCAGGCTGTGGCACGATCCACGCTGCGGAATATCGTTTATTTATAGCAGAGAACTGCATCGTGGCTGCAGTCTAAGTTATGGGCAACATTACAAGGCAACACTGGACTACAAGGAAATCTTAAACCTTAGTAGTGTCACTGCTTCCTCTCTCTCTTGTAGACTAGTGTAAATTCGAACTGCCACACAGTAGCTAGCAACTTGTTGCGATTGCTGCGGCGCCAGGCAACATTCTGTTGAATCCACGACCAAGTCGTCGCCAGCAAGTCTGCGATTATAATCTTTCGCTCTTGGCCAGCCTATCCCAGCCAGCCCTACTCCTGTCTTGGCCAAATACAAATTGTGCGAGTTGTGAGGTGAGCCGGGCACAACGTTGTCAACGCTCGGGTACAGGCCTTTGGCCTGCTGCCATTTCCCAGAGATCGTATCTGGGCATCTTTATAGTACGAGTCGCAGACTCATTTGGCTTTCATGTGGGGCGATAAGCAAATGGCAACAGCATAAATGTTAAAGGCAAAAGCCTAAGGTATTGCTTAATTTGTATAGAAAATTAAAGAGGCAACATTCAAGCCAAATTGCTGGAATTCTTTAGGGAAGCTCTGCAGCTATAATAATTGAAGGCATGAATTGTGATATCTATTAACCAATTAATTTGATTTATTACTTAATTTATCTGGTTTATGGTAATTAGGAATTTAAATAAAAGATAACAAATAAAGCAACAATTTATACAGTTTTCGTTAGCCCTTCAGCTATTTCCTGTTTGCAATTTAATTGTCAAGGAAAAATAAAGAAAATATATTATTAAAGACTCTCTCTAATATATATTTAAAGACACTGATAGCTGTAATGGCCTCATAATTTCATAATATTATTCAAGATAGACATCTGGTTATTGCCAGATTTTTCATAGGCAAACTTGGCATGATTCCTGCCTCTACTTGGCCATTTTAATGTTCACAATTTAATGCATAATTTCATGTGTTTTGCGGTTCGCGTGTCTTGTCCCATTTGGCAGAGTCTTCACCTCCGTTTCGGGAGCTGGGAGCTCACTTAAAGCACATTGTTGCGACGTTTATCATATTAATGTGAGTGACTGCCATCGTTGGCCGGGTCTCTTAACAACTTAATAATTTATTTGGCCCTCCGCCCGCGGAACATGTGTCACGGCCACGTCAGGAGCTCGGAAGAGGGTTCTTAAATTATTTACACGACTTGCATGCGTGGCGGCTTTAAAGAGGTTGCGTCTGCGGCGCATAAACATGTCATATTATTATTATTATTTTTTACAGTCTGATAAAAGTTTCGCTCGCTTCAAGTGCTTCTTTTTTATGGCGATGCGTCATAAAAAAACAGACAGAAGTGAGCTTCCAAAAAAAGGACAGAAAAAACAGAGCGTTTTCTAAAGGACAACGAGCAGCAACAGGAGCGGGCAGCTTATCAATGCAAAACAGACTCTCGACTCTCTCATCCGTCCACTTCATATTCGAAATCACGCCCCCACTTTCACATCCCTAAAACCCACTCATACTTGCCCCATCCCCATTTCCATTTGCATTGTGCAGAAAGCGTTGAAGCAACCCTTGAGGGATTAAATTTCAACAGTTTGCCGCCCGCGTTGCGCATTCTTGGCCAGCACTTTGCTGATGCTCCTCCTCCTACTCCAGCTCCTGTTCCTGTTCCTTTTCCCGGAAAATCCCTTGCCAACTTCTCGACGCTTAGCCATCTGTGCAACTGTCTATCTGCTCACTTTTCGGCCAAATGGACAGCGCTTAAGTGAGGAGGAGAAGGCATTCGGCTAATGAATGTAATCGTCATAAGCTGCCCTTTTCGATTCAACTAATTACGAGGTCCTGTCTACAAAATATTTCCCTGTAATTGGACGGCTTTCATTGGGATGCTTTCGGGAGAATTATGAAAGCCAGGGAAATGCATTCACTCTAAGTAAGGATTTGCTTGTTTGTCGGTGAGAATTTTGGGTAAAGGTCTTGCTGGGGGATTGTCTTTTGAAGAATTTGAAATATTTTCATGGGAGGAAAAGGTTGTATGAATACATGCTTAAAAGATAGAATTCATATAAAGATGAATTATTTGTTTTAAATTAAACCCCTTTAATATCGCTAGACCTTCTCTCTACAATTATAACTAACTTTATCTAGCCGTAATAATAAAACCGAGAAAGCGAAACAAAACCCTGCTCTTGAAGCTCAGTGGCAAGGACATTCTCGTAGCTATGTGTACCTGCAGCTATTTTGATTTGATAAGCAAACAATGGCGACAAACAGCAGCAGGAAAAGAAAGAAAAACCCTGCGTTGTGCCGGTTGGCAAATAGAATAAAATAATCAGAAAGCAAATGCAGAAAGTGGTAATGAGGATACGCCGTGTCTGACAATGGAAGCTCCCCCGAAAGGGGGGAGAAACAGAAACGGAATGGCGCTGCCTGTTTTTCCGTTTGTCTGGAAAAGTGAAAAGCATGTAAATGCCCAAGGCGGGTATTACAAGTGGAAGGGTATCCAACCCTCCTCCGATTTCTATATTCCAGAGAGCAGACACTTGAGGCAGAGCTAGCTGCTCGACAGCCAGCTGGACAATAATTGTGCGAGGGTGTCCTGCGGGCAACAACAACAACAGACCGGGAAGGGGGAGAAATGCGGAGCCAAGGAGTCGCAGGCAGAGTGTCCTGAACAAGGATGTGCCAAGTGCCAAAGGGGCGTCGGCGGCCCGAATGCTAATGAATTGAAATTGGAATCGGAGGAGCAAGCGCGCGGGGCGTATGAGCAATTTAATTGCTGAGCAAATTTTCCACTGATGAAAATTGAATTGTTCATTGGGTGGCGTGGCGTGTCATGTCACTGTCAAGAGCAAATGTTTCCAATGCCGCAACATCAACATCAACATTGTTGTCTCTCTCTCACCCCGAAAAAATGAAAACATTCAACAAATGAGGTTTGCAAATGTCGGCAAAATGGCAAAGCTTGCGTGATATTTATTATTTGTAGCCTGCCGTTGTTTAAATGATTTTTCGAGCGATTTATTTGTGGTCGGGCTTGGTTGTTTTTTAATGAATTTCACCCTTCTTCCCTCTGCCCACGTAAAACCCTCGACTTTGACGTGTAACTATGAAAAAACGAACGAAAATATTATATGGCAAACGCGAGCTGTCACCGCGGGCGTGACTAAAAGTTGCCATAAAAGAAGAAAGCGTAAACCGTAAACTTTTATTACTCTGCACAATACAGTGCACATTCCTGGGCTGTTTTTAATTTTCCCGAGCTGATGTCATTGTCCTGGCGATGGAGATTCATTTTTTCCTATTTTTGTATCACTTTCCAGACGGAGCTCTCGCACAATCTGCAACAATTGTCGGAGAAGGCACGTTCCACGACCGAATTCATCCAGCGCCTCAAAGGCATGAGCGACAAAGTAACGGTAAGTTTGTAGAGAGGGGAAGTCCCGGAGTCTAAAATCTGGCATCCATCTTGATGATACTCTGCGTCATCCACAGGAATCCTGCATGGAGTTCGAGCGACTGGTGCACGCCCAGTGCGAGGCCCTAATCCAGGCCATTCACGACAGACGCGAGTATCTGCTGGAGGCGATTCGCAATGACAAGGACACCAAGATCAGGATACTCAAGGTGGGTTTTTCGGATTTATTTGGTTTGAGAAAAATATCCTTAAAAATGTACTTTACAGGACCAGCAGTCGAACTGCACTGGCAAGTTGCAGCAAACCACGGGACTTATACAGTTTTGCATTGAAGCTCTCAAAGAGACTGACAGCGCCGCCTTTCTTCAGGTATGCTTCATAATTAAATATTAAATTAGAGTTCTGTTAAGTATTATTAATTATTATTATTAATAGGTGGGCTCCATGCTTATCAATCGAGTGGCCAATACAGACATGACCTGGCATCAGGAGGTCACCAATGCGGCCCCTCGGGTCTCGCCCATCGTTGACCTGACCCTGGATGATGCGGCCTTGGCCCGAGCCATAGATAACTTGAACTTTATACAGATGAAAGGTGAGTTTTTAATTAAAATTAACATTCTCGAGGCTGCTTCTAAAACGAATAGATGTAATGTATTTTAAATAGGAAGTTGAATAAAGAAACTAGGAATGTAGGAAGTACTTGTAGCAAAGATCTAGCGTACATAAAATAAGTTGAATGAAGAACCTTTTTTTTCGAAGAAAACTAATTTGTCTCTTTCCCCAAATTCAATGTTATTGTGTCCTAACCACAGGGGCTGAATTATTGTGCTCAACTGTATGTGCTAAGCAAACTCCGCCTCATAAATATTGTCACTAATTACGCACAAACACACAGACTCGCACACACACACCTGGGCAAAGGTGTGACTCTGGGCCACCCTGCAAACAAAAACAGAAAACATAAACATAAACAAGGCCCCAACCTCTTTCTCCTCTTGAAACAATAGCGGAAGGGCTCTCGTATCAAGAGCCATTGAAGAGTTTGGGACTGTGAAGGGCTTCAGGAATAGTTTTTGTGGGAGAAGTGATCCTAAATTTAGAACTGAAAGTGGTGGGAATTTGAGGAGGAGCTGACAAATTTCGAGGGGAATTAAAAGTGAAAGTGTTGAAATCGGATAGTGCAGCCTCATTGCACCATAATTTATTTAACGATTTAAATAGAATATAAGACGGGACAGACCCCTTTTGCATTTTGATATGTCTCTAACATTTTTGTGCTTCTTTCATTCTGATTGTGCCGCTTGTGCTCTCATTTAAATGAATGTCCGCATAAAATACAAAATACAAAAATCATCTAAAGCCGTCAAAGATGGAGATGAAAGATGTCCGGCAGGTGAGCAACTACAACACGCAACCGCGAATAAATGCAAGACAAAAGTTTAAATAAATTTAATTTATAAAAAAATAAGTTCAAGACACAGAAAACTCACAAAAGTTTAATGCCATAGTTTTGTTTTTCTTTGTTTCTGGACGTTCTTTGGTGCTTTTAACCCCTCACACACACATTAAAGAACACATGCACTCACACATCAACCTGGCCTTGGTCGGCCATTTTGTTTTCAAGGATTTGGCCATTGCTTGCTGCCTTTGTTTTCCGTTCTCTCTCTCTCTCTCTCTCTCTCTCTTTGCCTTTCTTCCGGACAGCTCACGCCTACGCATAATAATTTTTCATTTTCATTCAAGCCACTAGCAGGGAATACAAAAAATAAAAGTAAAATAAAAGAAAGTGCCCCGAAAAATGCGTCCAAATATTTTCGTTGCTCGCTTCCGGTTCCTGGCGAATGTCACCAATGCCTTGGCTCGGTCTTGCCTCGGTCTTGCCGCAGCCTGTCAACCCTCCGGAGGCGGTGGGCGTGGTCGGTCAGCGATGTCACTTGAAGTGACATAATTTTTTACGCAGCGTTTTTCCTTTGGCCTGTCGCTTTTCATTTGACTCTGCCTTCGGGTTTCACTCTCCCGACTCCTTATTATTTCACGCTTAAGCTTTCATTTCGCATTTCGCATTTTCCGTTTCCGTTCTTTATATTATTATTATTTTTATGTGTAGCCATGCTCTTTTCTGGTATTTTCGCCAGCAATTGACCCTCTTCAAGGCCCGCTCCTGGGCTTATCCCTTACACTTTTAGCCTGATTGCGTCGAGGCACCTTGATTTCTGCGGCTTCACAGCCCTGTGACTCTCCGGGGTTTTTTGTTTCGACTTTGACATTTGACAGCTTTTGGCGCCTTTTTAATTTGAGCTTCATGGCGCAGAGTCAAGGGAGCGGAAAGCCCGAAAGTGTCGTCATTTTTATGTTTATTTTGTGACATAATTTTAGGCGCTTCACTTCGCTCGCTGCCATTTGTGTTGTGTCATGAATTTTTATTGCCAGGCGTTGGTTTTATGCCTCGATTTTATGACATGGCGTGGCCGTGGCATCCCCCTTCGGGCAATTAATAAAAAATGAAAGCCCCCAACATTTGATGTCCCTTTGACAGATTCTCTCCTCTTCATCATTACTTTTTTTTCAGGGTTCATTTGCTGGTTTTCGGGTTTCCATTTACAGAAACTTTTTTTATTGGTTGTGGTTTATGTATTTGCCTTAGTTGTATTGATAGTTTGACTTACTTTTATTTATTAACCAATCACTCTACTAACACACACACACACTTTGACTGGGTCTTTCTATATTTTTGTACACTTTCGTTGGAGTATTTATTTGCCTTTAATTAGCACTACTATTGATTTTAACACACTAATACTGATACACGTTTTCTGTTCAATTAGAAACATTTTTTAAAAATTCTTTATATATTCAAAATAGCTCCCATGACTCCAACCATACTGCCATCGGATTGTTCAGCGGAAAATAATTCCGTGACTGTGGCGTGGCAGCCACCGAATCATTCCTTTGTAGAGGGTTATGTCCTGGAATTGGATGATGGCAGCGGTGGAGAATTCAGGGTAAGTTGAATTGAATATAAGGATTAAATACATGATCAGTTTTGGAACAAAGTTAAAGCTTTTAAAATATATTTATTGCTTTAGAAATGCGTTACCACTTTTCCAATAAATATACTTCCTTTTTGAAGACCTTTCAAAAAACGTAACCCAGTAAATGCCTTAGTATTTAATGAATAGCTCCCTGAATATGGGAGCTGAGTGCCACAATCCGACTGTTGATTGGCTCAGTGAATGGCTGTCATCTTCCAATTTATTAACCGAGAACTTTAATTTGATTCCCAACCTCGAACCGAAACAGGAAGTCTACTGCGGCAAGGAAACAATTTGCACCGTGGACGGGCTGCACTTCAACTCGATGTACAATGCCCGGGTGAAGGCCTTCAATTCCGCCGGAGAAGGTGAATACTCGGAGCTGATTGGACTGCAGACTGCCGAAGGTGAGTCCACCTCTACTAGCTTTTTCAATTAAGCTCCTTCTGCCTGCCGCTTGTGAGCTACTTTTCCAACTGTTTTATAATTTAATCCTTTTCGGTCATGCGCCACCCCATTTCCATTCAGGACTCCTCCGCCCGTCCTGCCCCTCGCTTCGTGCTTTGCATGTCAAACAGCCATTGACCCCTTTTACGCCTGCCGGGGCCCAGGGAGGACGTGAATGGAAATGGGAGTGGATACGGACCTGGGAATGGGTATGGGTGTGGGGGTAGAGGGAATGTCTTGTGCAATCCAATTCTCACTTGATTGATGCATGCGCCACCTGACAGCAGCTCCTTTTGCTCCGCCAGGCGAACCGCCGCGTAAAGTTATTTAATTTATAAAATGGCCAGAACGCTTCCTAGACCACTTTACTGCCTGGATCTCTGGGTTTCTGTTTCTGTTATTAGTTGGCCGCCATTAATTTGCAACTTTTAATTGATTATTTTGCGGCGACGCGAAGCGGGGGTTCCCGAACCCGAACCGAAACCGGAACCGGAACCCGATCCCGATCCCGATCCCACTGCAAATTGCCATTTTATAAAGTGTTTACACCGAGCGCGTGTCCCCAAGTAATTAACGGCAAAACCAGTTAACAGTTTATGGCTCGTGGCACTGGCGGGCGGTCTGCGCTAATGACTTGGCTCTAACACCTCGCAGATAAACAGAAGGGTCCAAAGACAGGGTTCTTAGAAAGGGTTCCAATTACTTAAAGTAGCGGAGAAGGATTCGTGAAGATATTTAGGGATGATTTAAATATTAAAGATAGAGAACTTGGCAATAACACAATAAAACACACTCTCCAATTACTGTTTATTTAACTTTTAAAATACCAAGCATAGTTTTCAAATCTCTTAAAAATTAAGAGAGATGCCAAGAGACAAAACACTCGTAAATTAGAACGGATTAGTACTCTTTCCTATATCCCTTTTAATAGACCCTTAATCCCAACTTCAGACAAAATAATTTGGCAAACATTTCTAGTCCCTCTTCTCTCTTCCTCTTAGTTATCCAATTAAGGAACTAGGAACAGTTTATAACAGCTAATTAAATGCCGGCATTCAGGACTCCTAGGAGTCTATAGTGCCTGGCTCAAATCCCTCATAGTTTTAATCGCAAAGTCATATCCCCGACGTAAACAAAACAATGGCCAGCCGAGTACTACGTCCTCGTGGCCCAGATGCTTGCTTTGTGGCTTGTTTGGCCACACAATTGCCTTTGGTGGCCAATAAAACAGGCAACGTCATCGTCGTCAGTAGACCGAGAACTGGAGTCCCGACTATAAACACTATATATGTATATATATTGTATATATAGGGCTGGTCCCAGCTGATTCCAGACTAGCCTCGGCCACTTAATGCGGCCACAACAATAAAAAAGGAAATTTAATAAAGCACTCGACTCGACGCCACTCGTTGCCTACTTTGCGGCGCATAACAGCATAAACTATAAGCAAAGGACTCGGACTCGGACTCCAGATTGCACTGGCCACTTGAGCTTTGACAATGGGGAAAATTGCAACCAGTCTGACTTTGTTTTTCTTTCCACTTTTCTCCTGCTTTGAAACACTGCAAAAAGTAAGCTGGCTAAGCGGGTAGGAATAGATTTGGAAGGGATTTCGAAACGCGTTTGACTTGATAGGACTTTCCTAAGGAAGCTATCTTTGAGGGAATGGCTATAAAATGTCCAATAAATTAAACTTATAAATACATTTGTATAAGATTTTTATAGTAATATAAAATAATTATCGAAGCTTAAAAATCTCATAACTAAGCCAATAAGGCCTGAATTTTAATTCTGAAAGCTGTCCTATGCAAGTTTGTATTAGAATATTAAATCTGCATACTCGGTTTTAACGATATAACCCTTAGTAATTTTTCAAAAATTTAATAAAATTTCAAAAATTATTTTTTAACCGTACTTGCCTAGTTCAACTCGGCTGTTTATCCCGATCAAGAATATATATGACATATAGGGTCGGAAATGATTCCTTCACTAAGTTTCAAGCTTCTGAATAGCCTGCAAGGGTATAATTTACAAGAATTAATATAACTTTTAAAACTATTATCTTTTATTTAAAAAACTCTTGTATAGCAATATTTTTTTTCACTGTTCTCATCACATCCATTTTTTCCATTTCCTTCCATTGCAGTGGCCTGGTTCACGTTTGATCCGGTTCTGAGCGGCGGCGCCGGATCGGGCTTAATCTTTAGCAAAAACAATGCCACCGTTAGCGTCGAGGGCTGGGAGCACCGTGTGGCCCTCGGCTCCGTTGGTTTCTCCCGCGGCGTCCACTACTGGGAGTTCACCATCGACAACTACACGGCGGACACGGATCCGGCCTTCGGAGTGGCACGTATCGACGTGGCCCGCAACAAAATGCTGGGTGAGTGCATTCCCTTTACCTTTAACTCTAGTTGCCCCTCCAGCTCCTCCCGTGGCTGTTCCTTACCTCAGTGGGTTACTGGTTGCATTGGAAATTCAATTAAAAATTCAGAGCAGGCAGAAGGAGGGAAAAGAAGTTTTGATCGAAAAAAAGGGGAGGCATTGGGGAAAACCAGAAGTGGAAAATCTGCACAACAAATAGATTCTGGCGTTGACAAAAGATCCAATACGTATGCGGAAAGTTTGCAGCTAATAGATGCGAATTCAGAGGGGAAATTCGGAGAACTAGAGCGGGGAAAGGGAAACGGGGAGCTGGGAACTTAAAACTTTGCCATTTTGCCGCCTCGCAAGGCGAAGCCAATAAAATCGAGTGCCAAGTAGGAGCGGGGGCGTAACGAAAACTTTTGCCATTTCTTGTTGCATGTGCGTGAGGCGGAAGGCGCGGAGTTTTCGTTACCAGACTGAGACAAACACAAACAAAAGGCGGAAAGGAGCACAAAGAGCGGAAGCCGCGGAGGCGCCTTGAAGTATGCCGCAGCAAATTGATTGAAAATGTGCGTGGCTGCGTGGGAGAAGGAGGCTCTCGGCGCTACTCGATAGATACCCAGGGCGACTTAGAATGCAGACAAAAGTAATTAAAAGTGCGGCACTTAAACTTTTGTCAAATGCAAAAGTTTATTCTTGCCACAGAGCATCACTTGGTCTTATTTTTTATTTATTTTCATTGCTATTTTTTCGAAGGACTCGCTATGTATCTTTTTTCACTTAGACAATTTATTCACCAAGCTGCTCACGCGCCATTTAACACGTGCCCTACGGCAGCAGCGAGAACCCAGAAGCTGGGGAAACTACGGAAAACTGAAGTTTTCGAATTAAATTTTCATATGCAAAGCGAGGCAGGTAACGCCCCCAGCGACTGACATTGACACTAACAGTTGCAGTTTTCCAAGTTGTTTTGCGACGACTCTCATGCGTTCTTAACCCACTCAGTCCCCTTAACCCCCTATGTGCTCCTAGAACTCTGCCGCTTGTTGCTCTTACATTTGTCAGTTATAATTCCACAGGACTGGCGGAGCAACTGGGACAGGAAAGTGACAAGCTATGTATAGCAAGGGGACTCCTGGGACACAACTTGCCGGTTAAACTTTAAATTTCACAACTCGGAATTATGGGAGAGAAGTCAGCAGAACGGAGAGCAAAGATTATGATAGTAAAGACTATGAGCAATAAATTAAAACAACGATTTATTGAATTTAAATATAGATTGGGGTTTAAAATACCCATATAATGTATGAAGTAAATTAAATATCTAAAAGTATAAGAAAAATGAACTAATTTGTTATATTTATTTTATAAAAACCTCCGCAGGCAAGGACGAGAAATCATTTGCCATGTACATCGACCGACAGCGCTCCTGGTTCCAGCACAACTCCGTGCATGAGAGGCGGGTTGAGGGCGGCATTACCACGGGAAGCACCATCGGAGTACTCCTCGATCTAGAGCGGCACACACTGAGCTTCCTGGTCAACGAAATGCCACAGGGATCTGTGGCCTTCCGGGATCTCTACGGGGTTTCTATCCGGCTGTGAGTATCAACCGAGGCGTCACCCTGACCATGCACACGGCCTTGGATGCGCCCAAGATGGACTACTTCTAGGGCAGGTCGGATGGGATCCGAAATAGCAAATTGTGTACATAATGATGGAGGGAAAGAGAGCTTGAGCTTGGCATTTGACGACAGTTATCGGTGTCTATATAGAGCATTACCTTAATACGAACCAACAGTTTACTCAAACAGCTTATATACTATATGTGTGTACGTGTAGTTTCGGGCAAGGTTCAGCGACATATCTCCACTTAATCGTATCTCTACTCGTAGTTCTATAGGTTCACTGTTTGAAAAACGCTGCGCCAAAAGGGAAATAAAATAATTGAAAGCATTTATCGTTAACTCTACGTGTAAAATATAATAAAGAAGCTCTGAATGTTTTGCCACACACAGAATAAAGCCAAAAATCAAGCACCGTGCAAACACAAAATTTAAACCTAAATCGTAAACACCAAAAACGAATCAAATTTAAACGCAAGCGAATGAAAATCTGAGGTAAAAATCCAATTAGCAATTAGTGTAGCTAAAAATCAGCATCTGTATGTCATAAATATATATAAACGCATTTCTTTGAGGCTAAAATAGAATCAAAATCAGCGTGTTTTTTATGGGTAGAAGTTTTTTATTTTAAAGACTGAGAGCAAGTATTCATTTTAAGTACGTCAAGAAAAAAACACGTTACAAATTAAGGCCTCAAATTAATCACTTACAAATTGAAGTAAACTCTTGCAAAATTAAATATTTAAGAGCTCTGCAAAAATTGCATTAAACGAAAACCAATTTAAAGCCAACTGTTTCGCTTATAAAATCAAATATGCATCTGAATATTAATGTTTAATGTACAATTAAGTTCCCTGTAAATATTGATGTATTTTTAATACCTTAAAAAACCATCGGCTATTCTAGTTTTTTTCCTATTTAAGGTGTAATGCATAAAATTAAATTCCACTGTACGTACGGACTATTTATACTTTTCAACTTAAGCCTATCTACAGCGTAAAAAAACAACAATTAAACTTAATTACCAGTACTATGCATGTTTAATATTTATAATTGTAATAATATACAAACAAACCGAAGAGCAAAACAACAAAAAACAAATAATGTAATTGCACAGGCAACTACAAGCACACACACACCCCACACACACAAGTAAATGAGTTTATTTAACAAAAAATGGAAATAAAATAAATATGAAAAAAGGCATAATAAAACTTAATAGCTTTCCTAAGCTTCATTCGGGCGAATATAGATGGATTTAAGGTAAGCCAATCTGGGAAATTCAGGTGATTTCAAGCGGGAAGAAAAATAAACATTTTAATTAGAGCCAAGCTGAGTGCAAAAACTAAAAACTTTCCCCAGTTTTTTGCTTTTGCATTAACGGAAAAGCCTCACGCAAGCGGGGAGTTCGTTGTGCCAATTTCTGTGCGGATTCCCGTGTTTGTTCTGCTTAAGCGGCAAATGTGTCGCCAACAATGTGGAATTCTGGTTAGTTGTTTTGGCATTCCCATTCACACACTCACAGCACACACAACCCACAATGCCCCACACACTTTCACAAATTACACACTTAACTTTGGCGCCGCGTTTGCTTAGAAAGCCGGCATGTGTCAGCGGCAAGAGTCGGGGCAGGACAACAATTGTTTGCTGCTTTTGACAAAAGCATAAATTTTAATGAGCACAGTGCTCAGAGAAAAAATAACCGCCAAAGAAACTATTGTTATTTGGGATGCACATTGTTTGGAGCTCTATTTATAGAGCAGAGTCCTGCGAGCGGGAAACGCATCAAAGTGCAATTTGTATATCCGGGTTACAGTTGGCGAAACTGACAAGGAAAAGCGCTTAGCTGCGGCCCCACTTCCGCCTCCTGCCGAGGGAGACAGACGACAAGTGATGGCAGGGACAGGACATGGGACACAGGACGCAGGACATGCAGCAGCTGCTCCTCCCAAAGTCGTCTGCTTCATAAATCATAAAAAAAGAAAACTTTTGCCGCACGTCGCCGAACAAGAGAAACTCCCAACCGCCGCCTCACATTTTCACATTTTCCCATCTGCCCTCCGTGCCCCCCGGAAAACTTGCCCCCGCAAAACTAACCAACAGCTGCTAAGTGTTGAGTAAATGTTTTCGCGCCTCGTTGCGCTCTCAAATTCCCAAAACGTTTCCAGTTGTCGGTGTTGGTTGTTGGTGTTGGCTACATGGCGGATGTGGCACGTGATTGCAGCAGTTTTCCCGCACCAACTCATAAATGGGGAGAAAAGCTGGGTTTTCAGACGTTATTGGCAAATATCTTTTATCCTGTTTTACCCACAAAAAAAAAACAAAAAAAAAAACATGGGCAAAGTTTAAGTAAAGGGATGCTCTGTTGATATATTTAAAGATAATATATTCTCCTATAAAGTAGGTTATTTAAATGAATATAAGTTCAATAATATAATCCCTTCGCTTCTGGAAAATCAGTGACTTGACTGATCCTCTTGCTCCACATTTCCTTGATTACTCTCTGTATGTTCCTCTACCTTAGCACCTTCCCCTCTATCTGTGACCTCTGCATTTTCCTGATTTCCCTCCATCGAAGCCTCTGTGGTCAGTTGAGTGACTTCCTCTTCCACCGGCGATGCTGTGGTCACATCTTTGTGTCCTTCGCTCGACTCCCAATACTGCATTACCTGTAGGATTCTAGGCATGACCGTACTCCGGGAGCTAATGCCCCAATGCATGTCCATGTGATTCCACTTGCGATACAAATGGTTCTCCACGACATTGGGCAGCAGCTTGGCCAGCCGCTGGACGTCCTCCACAGCGGAGAGGAAGTCATTGCTGCCATAATACAAGGCCACCGGTGCCGTGATTTTCTCCAGGCGATAGTCCGGCGGAGTGGGTCGTCCATAGATGCGGTGGTTCTCCTTGGCATCGTAATCGAATTGGCAGAAGCGATCCGAGGACTGCAGCTGGAGATAGTGGACAGGTTGCTTAACATTGCAGCCACCAGGAAGATGGCCCAGCGCCGCCGGAAACATGGTCTGCAGAGAAATGGAATAATGAAACGAATAACAGGTGATGGACAGCCACTAACCATATTGAGTTCCTCCCGATTCTTGCCCACAATCTGCCAGTAGAAACGCACACAGGTCTTGAGAATTCCAGCCGACTGCAGGCACTGATTAAGGAAGAGAGGTGAGTTGGGAAATAGCTCAAAGTTCTCTCCGAAAACCCCGATTCCCAAGCGAGCGATTCCGATGAGCGGTGTCTTCATGTGCCGCATAAAAGCCACCGGTGCCAGAGCACTCATCAGATGGATTTTGGCATTATATTCCGGCCTGCTAGATGCCATCACAAAGAAACTGGTGGTACCCTGGGAGTGGCCAAAGTAGCTCAATTTCTGGTAACCAGTTTTGGCCAAAACAGCATCGATCATGGCCGGCAGATCGTACATTCCAATCTCGTGCCAGGAGAAGCTCCAATAGGCCTTATCCGTATTTGGATTCAGCTTGACATGGCTTCGGGAGTAGCGATTCCCCCGACAGTTGGCTAACCAAACGTCATAGCCGTTGTCGTAGAGATAGTAGCCCAGGCCACTATGTGGCCCCATTATAATCCAAGTGGCAGAGGTGTCCTGCAGGCCATGAACCAATAACACTGGCTTTGCCCCGGGCCTGGGAATGCGATGAAGGGTCAGGACATACTTGTCCTCGGTGGTCACCTGGTGAGCTTCAGCCGGGTACTTGTACTTCTCGAGGAGTTGTACCTGTCCGAAGGAATGAGCTCGATTATTGCAAACCACGTGAGGATGGACTTCAAACTTACCGTGGTGAGCCTAGCATCTTCAAGGACACTCGCCGGAATGGTGTCCTCTATGCCACCGAGAACGGGTGCGAGCACTCCTGCTAGCACTGCGAGAACCCAGATCGCGTGTCGCATGACGTTCGATCCGTGACTAAATCGAGCTCACTCCGGCAAGCCACTGGCCACTAAAGAGCTGTAATTAGTACGTGCTGTTTTCTGGATGATATTTTTTTATCGGTGTGTTTATCGGAAAATCGCGGCATGCTCAATTTCAGTTCCAGTTTCTGTATATATGCTACGCTAAATGTGTTCTATAACTCGCTGAAATTTGAGCAAATCGAAATTGTGTCCCATCAAAATCATGGCCAAAGTTCAGAGAGTGGACGGACAGCGGTGTTAACTGGTAGTCGGAACTCCCAGAACTTAATTAGTTTGCAATTCTCTGATAAATCATGCGAAACGGCTAGACAAGATATAGAAATAATTTATATATATTGGAAAATTGCATTGTGATCATTACATTCAAAAATGTTTAAAATAATTATTTAGCAAATTTTAAAGGGAAATGAGATATTAACCAGAGTTGATTCTCTGTGATTTATAGGGATTGACTAGAGATTAAGATATTTTCGCGTTATGTGACGATAGTTACTTTCTAAATTGTTATATTTTTTGTTACTCTCGGGGCTATTACACTGGCCAATGTGTTCAAAGCCCTTAAATCCATTCGAGGGCCCATCTATATCCTATTCCACACTGCCGGCCAAATCAAAGCGTACTCCTATTAATCCGATTTGCCATGGCCACTTCCTAGAAATGTTTGCCGGTTTAATTGGAAAATTAAATTTTTAACTCAGTTTTGTGTGTGGAGTGGCCCGTGTCCACTCGGCAAACATTTGAATCGTTGTCGGCCCTTTCAGTCAGTCGAATCCACGTCATCGCATTCTTTTTTCGCAATTGATTGGCAAAAATTGATTTCAGCTTCTGCATAAAATATCTGGCGCTCTTTTTATTTGCAGCAACTGCTGTCACGGGCGACGACGACTGACAGGCTGACAAAGCGGCGCGGCTGGCAAGGAATTGGGTGGGAATCGGATTCGGATTCGGAATCCTTGCCTGCCGGATTCGGCTCCGGCCTCCGATAGGCCTGATGTGCGCTGGCCAACGTTTCGACATTTGACAAATAACTTAATTCGGCGTTGTCACCACATGTTGGCAATGCCAGTGCAGACGAGGCAGCCCAAGGGAGCGCCAGGGATCAGGAGGAGGACGAAAGTGGAGGTCCTGGCAACTTGACATCCCCTGGCATGTGGGCGCCTGTGGGCGGTAGTGGATGTGGGCTCTGCACAAGTCAGTTGGCAGCATGTTGAAGTTGAAGCCTCGGTTTCATGCTCGACAGGCGTGAACTCCAAGGGGCAGTCAGTGCCATCGGGACGAAGCCTTTAAAATTAAGCTGAGAGCTGGATCAATTTATCAATATAACACCAAAACGTAGGCCAAGTAATGTGGAAAGATGTCAAGCGAAAAGAATGTCTCAAAAGTATTTTATTATCTGGGTTCTCTTAACTAGCTATTTATTCTGATCAACCATATAGAATCTATAGAATAGGAAATGACTCCTTCACTCTAAAAAAAAAGCTGTTCTATGCTAGTTTTTATTGCAACAAAAATGCATTAATTTTAAATCGGAAAGCTTTACTGTGTTCTTTGTTACCAGGTTAACAAATCTGCATACTCCGTTTAAGATTTAAGAAACGTAAAATGACTGAAATTATAATGCCATTCTTGGAGCAGATATCTTTGCCCATATCTTTACCAGGTTAACAAAGCTGCATACTCCATTTTAAATTTTTAAAAATTCAATTTTTTGCCAATTTTTAACAATTTTAATGATGTAACCCCTTTCCTTTTTTTGCAAAAATCGACAAAAATTAAACAAAATTTTTTTCTCTAAAATATAACTAGATCAATTCCCCTTTTAATACTGATCAAGAATATATATGCTTTATGGGGTCGGAAATGACTCCTTCACAAGTTACAAGCTTCTGACTGAAAGTGTAATACCATTCTCTTTGTCCATATCTTTAAATGATAATTTTTTACAACAAATCAAAATTTAAAAAATTCATAGCTTGGCCAAAAATGCATTAATTTTAAATCGGAAAGCTTTACTGTGTTCTTTGTTACCAGGTTAACAAATCTGCATACTCCGTTTAAGATTTAAGAAACGTAAAATGACTGAAATTATAATGCCATTCTTGGAGCGGATTTCTTTGCCCATATCTTTAAACGACAATTTTTACAACAAATCAAAATTTAAAAAATTCCTAGCTTGGCCAAAAATGCATTAATTTTAAATCGGAAAGCTTTACTGTGTTCTTTGTTATCAGGTTAACAAATCTGCATACTCCGTTTAAGATTTAAGAAACGTAAAATGACTGAAATTATAATGCCATTCTTGGAGCAGATATCTTTGGCCATATCTTTAACCGACAATTTTTTACAACAAATCAAAATTTAAAAAATTCATAGCATGGCCAAAAATGCATTAATTTTAAATCGGAAAGCTTTACTGTGTTCTTTGTTACCAGGTTAAGAAATCTGCATACTCCATTTTAAATTTTAAAAAATTCAATTTTTTGCCAATTTTTAACAATTTTAATGATGTAACCCCTTTCCTTTTTTTGCAAAAATCGACAAAAATTAAAAAAAAATTTTTTCTCTAAAATATAACTAGATCAATTCCCCTTTTAATACTGATCAAGAATATATATGCTTTATGGGGTCGGAAATGACTCCTTCACAAGTTACAAGCTTCTGACTGAAAGTGTAATACCATTCTCTTTGTCCATATCTTTAAATGATAATTTTTTACAACAAATCAAAATTTAAAAAATTCATAGCTTGGCCAAAAATGCATTAATTTTAAATCGGAAAGCTTTACTGTGTTCTTTGTTACCAGGTTAACAAATCTGCTTACTCCGTTTAAGATTTAAGAAACGTAAAATGACTGAAATTATAATGCCATTCTTGGAGCAGATATCTTTGCCCATATCTTTAACCGACAATTTTTTTCAACAAATCAAAATTTAAAAAATTCATAGCTTGGCCAAAAATGCATTAATTTTAAATCGGAAAGCTTTACTGTGTTCTTTGTTACCAGGTTAACAAAGCTGCATACTCCATTTTAAATTTTAAAAAATTCAATTTTTTGCCAATTTTTAACAATTTTAATGATGTAACCCCTTTCCTTTTTTTGCAAAAATCGACAAAAATTAAACAAAATTTTTTTCTCTAAAATATAACTAGATCAATTCCCCTTTTAATACTGATCAAGAATATATATGCTTTATGGGGTCGGAAATGACTCCTTCACAAGTTACAAGCTTCTGACTGAAAGTGTAATACCATTCTCTTTGTCCATATCTTTAAATGATAATTTTTTACAACAAATCAAAATTTAAAAAATTCATAGCTTGGCCAAAAATGCATTAATTTTAAATCGGAAAGCTTTACGGTGTTCTTTGTTACCAGGTTAACAAATCTGCATACTCCGTTTAAGATTTAAGAAACGTAAAATGACTGAAATTATAATGCCATTCTTGGAGCAGATATCTTTGCCCATATCTTTAAACGACACTTTTTTACAACAAATCAAAATTTAAAAAATTCATAGCTTGGCCAAAAATGCATTAATTTTAAATCGGAAAGCTTTACTGTGTTCTTTGTTACCAGGTTAACAAATCTGCATACTCCGTTTAAGATTTAAGAAACGTAAAATGACTGAAATTATAATGCCATTCTTGGAGCAGATATCTTTGCCCATATCTTTAACCGACAATTTTTTTCAACAAATCAAAATTTAAAAAATTCATAGCTTGGCCAAAAATGCATTAATTTTAAATCGGAAAGCTTTACTGTGTTCTTTGTTACCAGGTTAACAAATCTGCATACTCCATTTTAAATTTTTAAAAATTCAATTTTTTGCCAATTTTTAACAATTTTAATGATGTAACCCCTTTCCTTTTTTTGCAAAAATCGACAAAAATTAAAAAAATTTTTTCTCTAAAATATAACTAGATCAATTCCCCTTTTAATACTGATCAAGAATATATATGCTTTATGGGGTCGGAAATGACTCCTTCACAAGTTACAAGCTTCTGACTGAAAGTGTAATACCATTCTCTTTGTCCATATCTTTAAATGATAATTTTTTACAACAAATCAAAATTTAAAAAATTCATAGCTTGGCCAAAAATGCATTAATTTTAAATCGGAAAGCTTTACTGTGTTCTTTGTTACCAGGTTAACAAATCTGCATACTCCGTTTAAGATTTAAGAAACGTAAAATGACTGAAATTATAATGCCATTCTTGGAGCAGATATCTTTGCCCATATCTTTAAACGACACTTTTTAACAACAAATCAAAATTTAAAAAATTCCTAGCTTGGCCAAAAATGCATTAATTTTAAATCGGAAAGCTTTACTGTGTTCTTTGTTACCAGGTTAACAAATCTGCATACTCCGTTTAAGATTTAAGAAACGTAAAATGACTGAAATTATAATGCCATTCTTGGAGCAGATATCTTTGCCCATATCTTTAAACGACACTTTTTTACAACAAATCAAAATTTAAAAAATTCCTAGCTTGGCCAAAAATGCATTAATTTTAAATCGGAAAGCTTTACTGTGTTCTTTGTTACCAGGTTAACAAATCTGCATACTCCGTTTAAGATTTAAGAAACGTAAAATGACTGAAATTATAATGCCATTCTTGGAGCAGATATCTTTGCCCATATCTTTAAACGACACTTTTTTACAACAAATCAAAATTTAAAAAATTCCTAGCTTGGCCAAAAATGCATTAATTTTAAATCGGAAAGCTTTACTGTGTTCTTTGTTACCAGGTTAACAAATCTGCATACTCCGTTTAAGATTTAAGAAACGTAAAATGACTGAAATTATAATGCCATTCTTGGAGCAGATATCTTTGCCCATATCTTTAAACGACACTTTTTTACAACAAATCAAAATTTAAAAAATTCATAGCTTGGCCAAAAATGCATTAATTTTAAATCGGAAAGCTTTACTGTGTTCTTTGTTACCAGGTTAACAAATCTGCATACTCCATTTTAAATTTTTAAAAATTCAATTTTTTGCCAATTTTTAACAATTTTAATGATGTAACCCCTTTCCTTTTTTTGCAAAAATCGACAAAAATTAAAAAAAATTGTTTTCTCTAAAATATAACTAGATCAAT